TCAAAGGTGTTCCTGTAACTGGGTTTATCATTTTTTTTCCCCTAAAGACTGAGGGTCATAGTTCAAGGGCTGTTTGTCTCACTGCTACATTTCATATTGAGCATAGTGCTTGAAACATACTAGAAAATCTGTAAATGAGTAGGAAAGCCAGGAATTAAAGACAGCTTGTAAACATAAAGTAATGAAATTTTACCAGCAGGCATTGAAAAAGGGTGACATTGGAAGGACATGATGGCATTGTGGGAGTATATTGCTGGGAAAATAAAAATTGGTAAGAACAATTTTATAGTGTACTCAAGCAGCCTTAAAATATTCCAGTGTTTTTATCCGGCAGTTTTACTTTTAGGAATCTTATTTCATGGAAATAATCTTCAACACAGCATACACGCATGTGACGTGAGACTAGAAGCTGAGAAGTAGTAACAGGAAATAAAGGGTGGTGAGTTCACAAGTGGGGTGCTCCTTTAGCCACGCGCGTTGATTGTTAATCGTTTTGTAATAACATGAAACAGTGCCTGACTGAAGGAAACATAATGGCACTTCAGCATGGCTAGCGCCTGGGGAGTTCTGAAGCTGCTAGCAAGCTGCCCGTCTGGTGCCTTCCATGCTGGTGAAGACCCAGGAGTGGCCTAGGGATCTTGTTCACATTTCACTCTGTGACCACGCTTGCTACTTGCAGGCTTGCCCCTACTTACCTATAAGTCACTTTAGTTTATCGGCTTTTCAGTGACTTTCATCTTTTATTGAAAGACTTGATACTAATCTCTCACATAACTGAAAATGTAGTCTGTTGGGTTTATGTTAGTGTATTCATCTATGCAGTATTTTAGGGTTTTAATGTATTTAGTACAGGGTCTGCAGGTTCTCACTGTGTAGATTGCACTCATAGTGATCCTCCTATTTACAGCCTCCCAAGTGCTGGGATTACAGGTGCGCGCCACCAGGCGCAGTCTCCATTCTGTCTCAGTGTGCTCCAGGGCCAAGACCAGCATGGCACACCGGGCATCCAGCCCTGGCCACTGGGCTCTGCCTAAGCAGGCGCTTTAGTCCGCTGAGCTATCTGGCCAGCCCATAGTGTTTAAAATAGGTAGAACTGTTGTGTTTGTTTATATTGGACCACACCGTGGGGCACTGTGCTTCCTGGGTGTCTGCATCACCCACAGATGTAGTGGTGTGGAGGGTGTGTTGGTGAGGGTCAGCTGGAGCCTTCCTGTTGCCATAGAGATGATCATGTAGGGAAATGTAGATTTGAGAAAATACATAGATTTTCACAAAAGAACAAGCCAAAGAAATTCTGGAGTGGGTGTCAAGTGTGTGACTTCTAGGTCTTGCCACAAGGATATAGATTGTGAGTGGGGTGAACTGGGGATGAACTTAGGGTTCCACCACTTAGCTACCTCACCAGTCTTTTAAAAACACTTTTTGAGATAAGGTCTGCGTAAGTTGCCAGCTCACCTCAGATTTGAAATCCTTACTTCAGTCTCTTTTATGATTGGGATAGTGCCACCATACCTGGCAAAACCCGAAAAACTTGACAGCTTGTTTGGTTCCTGGAGTTTAAGCAGCATGATTTTTGGAATTGGGAGTTGGTGAGCGCAGCGGAAGGATGAGGGTAGGAAGTGGGGGGCAGAGTCTGTGTTACCTTTGCTGTCATGGGAGTTGGTGTAACTGTTAGCAGCAAGACATACGGAGTAGGAATGCCAGGTTTGAACTGCCAGCCAGTCACTTACCTGTAATAATTAGGTTAATTCTTTTCCTTATTATATGTGGTGACAGTTTAAAGGATTCTTACAAAGAAGAAATTAATTCATTTCATTTAAGAAAGCATGTAGAATGGTTTCCTAGCATGGAGTAAATACAGAATGCTAGCTGCTACCATGAAAGTTATAATCATCATGAAATTTAAGCAGCAGATGAAGATTTGTTGTCATTCAGAATGCCCTCTTTGCAGGGTGGAGGATGTGGGATTAGGGCTTGAAGAGATATGGAGCAGGCTGAGAACTGTTGGGAAAGGCAGAGGATAAACAGTGAAGGCCTGGCTTAATGAAGGTTAGCAACAGAGATAGAGACAGGTAGTAGATATGTCCACGTTAGACTCGACAGCACGGACTTGCTGATGTCGCCGTGTCTGCCCGGGCCGTCGGGGTGGCCTGTGATACAGCGTGGGTGAGTGTGCATCCCTGCTCCCAGAGAAGTGGGAAAACAGGGAAGGAGCTCATCTTCAGATACAAGATGGAAAACTGCGTACAGGAGATAACATAGACTTCCAGGATTTCAGAAGGGTTGGATAAATTTAGGAAAAATTTAGACTGGGTTTGGATCTGCAGCCTCTGGAATAGGTGTGTTCTGTACAAAGGAAACAAAGCCTGACGTCTAACCCAAGCATTGAATGATTTTTTCCTGCCAACCATCATGTTCCACATGAAAGTTTTCATTCACATTTTTGTAACATGATGTCATTGTGCTGTATGTATTACTTATCTGCTGCTGAATCGGAAATTGCTACAATCCTGAAGCCACACAGATGCTTGAAGAGATTCTTCGTGTGACTTGGGTGGGTTTGCTGCAGTCAGGGTCTTCATGTTAAGTCTTCGTGAGGCTCAGCTGGGAAAGAATCTGTGCCGTGGCTGTGCAGTTGTGCCAAGAGTCGTTCCCTACTGATTGTTAGACTGAGATGCTTGGCGTCCTGCTAGTTAGCTCAGGTTTCTTGCTGAATCTAACTCTGTATGGCTGCTTACTTACAAAGCTGGCAAGGGAGAGCTAGCTGGCAAGATGGACATTAAACCTCGACCGACAGGCACCGTCATGATGTCTCGTCGTTTGCTGTGTGTTACAGGTTACAGACATGACAGGCTTGGCCTAAACCCCGGAGGAGTGGAGTTCACTAAAGTAGATGTCAGGAAAGAGATGGCACAGAGGCTGTCTTCTCTAAGTAACCCTTTTATTCTTGCTTAGGAAAGGAAGCTGAACACAGTTAATTTGTCCTGAGTTACATAGTTGCCGGTGTAGGGGTAAGGCCCCAATCCAAGCTGGCCTTCTCTACAACTTGAAGTCATTGTACATGAAGGACTGAGAAAAGTGACTGTAGAAGTAGCATTTGGGATAATTCTTTTTTCTTTTCTTTGCATCTGGTGCAAGGTCTCTGTACAAAGATCAGACTCATAGTAATCCTCCTGTTTTCAGCCTCCCAAGTGCTGGGGTTACAGGTGCGCACCACCATGCCCAGCCTCAGTCACCATCTCAGCATGCCCCTGGGGGTGGGGCTGGCACGGATGGAACCCCTGTCGCTGCACTCTGCCTAAGCAGGCGCTTTTGTCCACTGAGCCATCTGGCTGGCTGGCCTTTGTTCCTCTTTCTTCCTTTTGGGGGGGGGGGTCATTTAGTGGAGTGATACGATTATATCCTGTTTGGTCTCAGTGAGTATGCAGGCAGGAAAGGAGACTGAGTTGAGACTGCTCTAAGATGGGCACTTTAAAGGGAAGAATAGAAAGGGATATCTGATGACTGTATGGTGTTGTTGCTTATTGAATTGTTTCTCTCCAGTAATTGAGAAATTTTTCTTTTTCAGTTCTCTGAGTTTAACCAGTAATGCCATTCAGTTGCCAATATCAAGGAAAGCAAACATAAGCCAGTTTTGATCTGCTTTTTAAGAAGAGTGTAGTGCTTTTCACCGTGCCTGACGGTAAGTCATAGTGCTTGGCTGTAACTCACAGTTCCTACTTTTATCACTAAGCTTTTTTTTTTTTTGGAATCGGGATTGAACTCAGGGGCTTATTCTACTGAGCTATCTCCTCTGCCCCTGTCATTAAGGTTTTGATCTAATGCCTCTAAAATAATGATTTTGGAAACAATTTCAAAGCCTAAAATGTTTACCTTCTTCTGTCTGTTACAGTAATTTAAGCAGAGGCTCATGTGGAAATGAACATGAAGAAAGGTACCCGCCAGTTCTGAGGGTTTATAGTTGCCTTCTACCACATTTGTTAATCAGTGAGACTTCAACCACACATTTATTTTACAAGATCAGTGACAGTGAACCTTGTAGAACTTTCAGGGACGCAGATAGCCTGCTGTGGCCCGCATGCCATAGGTAGACCACCAGGTACTACATGCTGAAGTCAGTTCTTTATATATTACCTCACCCGTTAGGGGGTCTTGGTATGTATTTCAGGCAGGTCTTGAACTCTAGGCAGTCCTCCTGCCTCAGCCTCCCAAGTGTGTAGATGAGGAAGCTTTATGTGATAAATTAGCTTTTAACTTGAAACAATACTCTTTTAGGCCTGTGTACTTT